GCACAAACTGGCCCCATCAAACATTAAAAATCTAGCTAAAACCACAAGCAATTTTTAAAAAAACTGTAAAATAAAGAACTGAACCAAATATTGTATAACAAACACTTTATAACTCTAGCGAACATGAAACTCCAGGAAGTTTTGCGAAGATATTTTCAAGGCCACTTACTTTCTTGAAAATCGCGCAAGAACGAATCGAAATCAAAATTCTGTGCATACTGCTGTTGCTCATCGAAGCCCCAAGCACCCGAATCGTACCTCTTCCTTTTCTGCTCATCGCCCAACACTTCGTATGCTGAAAATAATATCACTAAGAACAACTCACATAATGAACAGGGAGACTGATTAGAAGAATTTTGGGCTTACTGGGTTACGGAACTCGTTACAGGAACAATAAATAGCAACGCGCACCAGACTATCCGGTGCGATCATGTGTTTTGTGCAATTCAGCCCATCGAACGATTGCCTATTAATGACTTTCACTGCTTTGTACTTTAGTCTATGCAAAAACAGTTCAAACATTGGAAAAGAGTTAAAAATTTTACGAACCAGCGCATGAAAGCTGAATTCGAAACCTTGAAGGATGAATATCTTCCCATGATTCCCGAGTTAATAGTTTACTCACTAAAATTTTCACAAGGCCGTAAGTGGCACCCGAGAGTGCGAGAACGCTGAATTTGAATGGGCAAGGTTGAGCGGGGGCACGGGGTCATTCCCCTAAAATTTCAGCCTCCTAGACTCCGTGGTTCCCGAGATATTAACTTACCCACGAAAAACTTTCACGGGGCCGTACGCGTTACCCGCGGGTACGGGGAATCTGAATTTAAATTTGCGGGGTCACACGTGGGTGAAGAACGTTCCCCTAAACTTTCAGCTTCCTAGCTTTTGTGGTTCCTAAGTTGAAAGTTGCGGACAAGTTGCTGCGGACACACACAAACACACACACACAGAGACAACCCCGTGACAATATGAGTTTTGTACTGCTGTTACACAGCACAAAACGCATAACAACAATAGCTACGACGAGACTACCGGGAAAAGCCGCTCCCTTTTTCCGCGTGTACTACTGCCACTGCAATTTAAGCACTGGATCTGAGCGGCAATGAAGAAATTACCGGGCCAAGCACTCTTTGGCACTGAAACTGATCATGTGATATCCTCTGATGCTGACAGAGAATGTGACCCGATTAAGACTCCATGAACGGACAACTAAAGCATCACATCACTACGGTGGCTTAATATCTTCCACCATTTTTATGCGTTTTTTGCATCTAAGCACTGCAAAAACGCATATTGCCGAGGGGTTGTCGGTGTGTTCATCTGTACCGATTTTTCATCTCGAGACTTACAAAAGCTACAAAAAAGACTGAAACTTTGGGAACTTAATTTAAATCCATGTACGGGCCTCTATTCCCAAATTGGGAGTTCTTGCCCAACTGTTAACTACGTACAGGACCGTGAAGATTTTTCACGGATAAATTGCTAAATTGGAAGCCTGAAAAGCTAGAAAGCAGGAGTTTTAAGATATTCCCCGTCCACGTAGGCCTAAATGAGTCCAAGTCCAGCCCCCAGATGCGCGTGTTTCTCAGGTGTGGGTCCGTGAAAATTTTTTACGAATAAGCTCGTAACTCGGGAACCTAAAAGTTTGGAAAGCTGGAATTCCAAGGGAATGTTTTCTCACAGTTGTGGTGACTAGTTTCAATTCTTTTAGTTAGAAGCATATGCTGGAAAAAACAGTGCCGTTAGCGATAAAAACTTGCGGGAAACTGTGCAAAAAACGCATCTTCGCGGCGGCAGTCGATGTGCTGCCACTACTGCGTTTATACAAATGAAGGCGTTCTCTAATGGCAAGATCACGTCAGTACTTGCGCACCTCAATAATGAATGCGAGAAAGTCGACAGTTTTGTATGTTGATTT